CCTGTCAGCCCTTACGACCCTTCCTCCCTTGGCGGCGGCGCCTAGCGACGGCGGGGCGGGGAGACGTCGCCACGGAGCCGGGCGGGACATGGACGCTTGGCGGGACCCGGCCGCCCTCACGTTGACGGCCCGGCCCCGCCGCCCGGAGCCCGGCGTCTTTTCCTCACGGGGTCCTGCGGCCCGGCGAGCACGTCGTCCCCGCTGACAGGCCCAGGAGGGTCGGGGCAGCCGCTCCCGGGGCTGCTGTGGGGGTCGCGGCCTGCCCGGGTGAGGCCGGCCCTGGGGTCGGGCTCGGGCCTTGGGGCCCGCTCGGCCTAGGCCGGTGCCCCGGGGTCGGTGGACGCAGGTTTCGCCAGCTGCACCTCTGAATGCTCCGGCAACGGCGCCGTTGCCCTCGAACGTCTCCCTTGGCTGCCTGCCCTGCCTTCGCTCACGCCCCAGGCGAGGCTCACGTTAGCGTCTGCGCTTTCTTTATTTGATCAGCCCAAACCTGAGCGGGCACGGGCGCTGCCCACGAGGACGCTGCCACGCTGTTTAGTCTAGGGACAGGAGCCAGCAGCGTTTTGGTGACGCTCTGTTGCAAATGAGAGAAGAGCGCAGGAGTTGTTCCTCTTCCTTCAAAGGCAGCGTGAGGGACGTCGTTCCTCGCCTGGATAGGCAAAGGCAGGCCTTGGACTGCGTTGTGCAACTGATAACAGTAGAAACTTGGCAACGCTGAAAGAAGCAGTCTCAAGCGATCTCCGCTGCTGTTCTGCATTAAATAATCTCTGTTTTAAGAACACGCTACTAGATACCTTTCACAACAAACAATGCCTTTAGACGTGAGGATTCTATTAACATGCACACATGGCCCCTCAAAATGCAGAGAAATAGTGGGTTTTTCCTTTTCTCCCATGAAAGCCTTGCAGGGCTGTTTTAAGTCTTCCTCGTTTTTATTTGCTACAGTTATTTTTCAAGGAAGTGACAGGTCTGGACTTAAAAGGAAAATCCACCAACTGTTCTACGTGTCCTAACAGGATTCTTTAATTAGGAAGAAAAGAGACTATGGGGTTACAGGCTTCCATTTACGGATTGCTGAGTTCTGAAGTAACATAGGAAAAGAGTAAAATAGCTATTTGAAAGTGAGTGAATCATAAGGCTTTTACTAAGTAATCACTGATGGAAATACTTAAATTCTGAGAATGAAATGGGTCTCTGTATCCTTTTAGATTTATTTATTCTTTCTCAAGACTGTTCAGAAAGATTAATGCATATTATCTCTATTCATGTTGGCTTTATGTGTCCTGCAGTTGCTCTGCCGATTTGCTTTTAGACAGCTTGTACCTGCTGTGCAAAGGTGTTCACATACATAATTTTGTTCAAGGGTTTAATGGAGTTTTGTGTGTGTTTTCAGGCACCAAAGGATGCTTGTGGGCCTGATCAGAACCGCTCTGGCACACCAGCAGTGCTGTTATGTTCACTGTCCTCAGGTAATTTAAACAGAAAGAGCAAACAAATGTCAGTGTAGAGATGGCCCAAATTCTGTTCTCACTTGCCATGTTGTGGCAGTGTGACTGAGAGTGTCTGAGCCATGTGTTAGGGTGATATCTGTGTTATGAAGATGATCCAGCACCAGCAAACATTGTTAGAGTGAAGATGATCTAACTTATCGTGAAAACACTCTGTTACCTACAATGAGGTTACAGGTACCATGGAAAAAAAGCCTTTCTTGTGTGCTCTCTAACACCCTGGTAACTTTTTGTGTTCCACTTCCAATACCTGTTGAACCACTTCCAAACTCAGAAGGTCCTAGTTCTGATGTTGATCTTAACAGTTCATTGTCCATAGTTAGGATCTGTCAGACCAAAGGTGGACAAGGGTAGGACAGACACCTCTGAGCTGGTGCCTTTGATTCCCCTTAATGTCAGTGGAGAGGAAAGGGCACTCCTGGGCTGGGATTCAGCTAGATTTCTAAAGCACGTCAGGTGAATTCTGCTTTGAAGGCACCATCATCCCATTAAATAACTGGAATTCAGCATAATTAGTTCATCTCGGGCAGATACCCCCACTGTCACTCTGTGAAGTTAGGTGGAAGGTGTCCTATGGCTGCTGTTGAGATGTTCTCAGTCTGAGTGCCTACTGTGCCTCTTAGTTGTCTTATTTCTTGTCTTTACTATGACAACAGCTGCTTTTTAAATGAATGTTCTGAATCAGAAGCGGCACCTTTTTTTAAATAGCTTTAGGTGCATTTTATTCCTTAGATTTCCTCTCACTGCTTTTTGAGCCTCCAGCAGCACTGAGCACCCTCATGCTGTTGGGAACCTCACCTTCCAAAGTAGGGATGGGGCTTGAACACAAGCCTCATTGCTTCTAGTTCTTTGTTCAGTAACTCTGTGACCTTGGGGGTTTCTGTGGGTTATTTGTTAAGAAAACAGCATACACTTAGGAAACTTAGTTCCACTAACTATGAAAAGAAAGGGAGCTGTTGATGGCCTTCCTCTTTTTCTCTTAAGTATTTAAGGCAAGTACCTACACATTGATTTATTTAGCTTCACAGCTGCTCGACATTAGATCTGAACTCAAGGAAACCTTGGTGTAAAATGGACATCTAAACATGCTGTGTTCCCTGCCATAATAAAGGTGACATCCCAGCTGCACCAGAAATAAGGATGTTGGAGACAGAATATTGAGATATACTTAATCTGGGCAATAAACAGTAGGAGCAGGTCAATGCTTAACAAAGAAGCATTCTTTTTTTTTTTTTTTCCTCAAAGAAGGGGAAGTAGTTTGACATGAGCTTTTGACATGGAAGTAGAATTCCTTCCAACTAAAATGTTCTCCATTGTTCTTCACTTATCAACAATGATTCTTTAAAAAAGTTACCCAGCACGTAACAGTGACCATGTTACTTGAATTCTGAGTTCAGCAGCAAATCAATAATAAAATTATGTCTCTTTTTCCTTTCCACTTGTCCAAGTCAAAAATAAATGAGATATTTTGGACTGCGATTTTTCCGGTAGGCAAGTAAAAGTTTTTCATGGGCCTTGTCAGTGTTATGGCTCCTGAGGGCATCCCCCTTCCTGGGGGTTTGCCCATTTGGGCTCAGGGACAGCTTTGAGATGGTGCGGTTGATGGCTGACTGGCACAACCATGCCTGCTTCACCTTGCACTTGCCCCATCGCCGTGGACTTGTCTGGTGATCTGGACTCTCAGCTGAACCTGGTCACTGTCACCAAAGTGTCTCTGCTTGCCTTGCCCAGGTACTATTGGACTGTGCTTTTGGCAGCGAGGCCACCCTGCTGTCCTCACCTTTTCCACCCAGCCCACCCTGCTGTCACGCTCAGTCTCCAGCTCCCCTTCACTTCTGGACCAGCATCCAACTTTGCTGTTCCTTGACAGCCATATGTAAGAGCATACCTGCACCTCGTGATGGAGAGCAGGGATCCCTGTCCTAATTTCCTTGTCTTCTCTGTGATGCTTTAAGGATAAAGAGAGGGTATGAACAAGTGCCCGGGGTATGCAGATTTGTGAACCCAGCTGAAGTGGGGCTACTATTAAGTGTCCTCAGCTTTAGTACTTTGGGTGCTGTACTCATGCACTGGTACTGGGTCAGGAGCTGAACTAGCATGTCCCCAGTGCCGCACCAGCTGCTCTAGCTGAGCTGTGATTGCTTCAGCGCCCAGCCATGAACTGTGTGGGCAAAGATGCTGTCATTCAGCTAAAGCAGCTTGGCTTTGGTCCTCTGCCGCTCAAATAAATACAAGATGATAGCAAAGATGTACACGCAAGTCTGATACTTCTGCACTGAACTCTGCAGTAAGAGGGGAAATGCAACATGTGCTGGCAGAGGTGGAAATACCAGGACTGTCCAAGTTCCTGAAGCTGCAAATACAGAATCATATAAAAATTACACAAGGTTGTAGGCACAGGAAAAGGGGAAGTCAGTAAGTGCAAAATGTGTGTGTATGTATCAAGTAGTGTTGTTCAGTTCCCACCGAGGAAACTGGCTGTTTAATGGTAAGATTCGTGCTCAGTGGGGGAATCTTCCACGTAAAATGCTCAGTCTGGAAAAACTGCGGTTTAGAAAGTGTTGTAACAAGAGAAATCACAAGGGGGTAGTGTTGTACAGCACTCCAGCCAGCCTGTCTGCAATTCCCACAGCAGTGACCCTGTGCCGTAAACCAAGTTTATTTTACCAGGGGAAGATGCAAAAGTCACTGCCTGCATGTCTTCTGACAGCAGTCCCTGGGAGGATAACATTTGTCTTCGTGTGAGACAAGGACTCGTAGTGTCAAGATCAATACAGCAGCAGAATTGCCATCTCCATCTTTGTAGCTACGTTGAAACCAAGTGTGAAATGACAATGAGAGGTTTGACAGGTTAAAAAAAAAAAGCAGAGAGCTGTGAAGGATGAGTCATTCATGACAATATTTATTCCATTTCTTGGCCTTACCTTTTTTTTTTCCCCCCCTACTATAGGTGAAATCATATAGGTCTGATAACAAGTAACTGGGAGCTGACTTCTCTTTCCCATGCCTACTGTCAATGGCAGGAAGAAATCATGACTCAGCAGGAAGAGTAAAAGGTGTGTCGGTAACCGCATTCAAGAATGCTCCTTCTAATAAGGAGCTCTTGAGCTTTTCAGGAAGAGTTTCTTTCTGTCTTTGCTACCCTGCCAAGACTGCTCTCACTTCTGTCTGTCTCATGGGGACACAGCAGCCCTTGCTAGTATTAGAAGAAACAACAGAAAGAGCAAAGGGAATCTCCCTGCCTTTCTGTTGAACCCAGGTTTGATGTGTGCTTAGAAACCCAGTGAAAATGTACTTAAGAGCAGAGAGGCTTATTTAGAGGTCATTTCATACAAGAGGATTGATTCCACTATGCCTGGCATCTGGCCTGTGAAGCTAATGGGGAATGATTAATTTAAAATGATGCACTGCACTGTGAATAGCCAGAGACAGCTCTTCCCAACCCTTTATTGGAAAGGGGCAGAGAAGG